GATAATGTATGAGGGAGTGATGAAGAGGGAGAAACTTTCGAAGAACGCCAACCCTTTGCGCCATCCCCATCTGCGCACCGCAGGGAGAGGTGAGCGGAAAGCGAATGGAAAGGGGCCGCCCAAACCTCGACCTGAACCAAACCAAAACCGAACTCCAAAAGGCGACCTTGAGGATCAACGGTACACGAGAACAGGACAACCGTGCAAATAGACGGGTCGGTCCATGTTGTTGGCCACGTCCTGATCATCCCCATCCTCATCCTCCTCATCCTGTGTTTCGGCCTTTTCCAATTCCACCTCCTCCTTTGGCATCTCTCTTCCGCCTCCGTCTTCTCCTCCCGCCTCCTCCAGCCACTTCCTCCTCCCACCTCCTCTGCACTCGCCCTCCCGTTTCTGCTTTTCATCCTCGTTCGAGCTCCCCCTCGTGCCTGTCCTCCTCTTCCGCCATCACCCGCCTCCAGCGCTGCTCCTCACTGCTTTTGGAGATCTCATGGGATGCTCCTGGGGGCCTCTTGGAGGCCTCGTGAAAGCATTCTTTGCAGCTCCTGGGGGTGCCTCTTGCGGCCTCTTGGGCCTCCCGGGTGCCTCTTGGGGGCTCGTGGGCCCAGTGGGAGCCTGTTGGGGCCTCGTGGGCGTCCCCTGCAGACTCTTCGGGGCCTCCTGAAAGCATCTGCGGAGCCTCGTGGGTGCCTCTCCCTGCGTTCTGAGAGCCTCCTGGGGCCACTGGGGGCGGCTCGGCTCGGAGCACCTCTCGGAAACATCTTGGGGTCCTAGTGGGGGTCATGCGGCAGCCTCGGAAGCGTATCGGAAACAAAAACAGCGGGACTGCAAAAACTATGGATTTGAAGGGTTTGGCCTCTGAAATCCTTCCGTGGAGCTCTCCAGAAGGTCTTGGGGGCCTCTTGGGCGCTGGTGGGGGGCCTCTTTGCTGTCGGACAGCCGTCGTGGGCCGTCTTGGGGCACTCTTGCCTGTCTTGGGGGCGCTCTGAGCGGTCTTGACCCTCCCAGGGCGATTTTGAAGCCCAGGATGGTGGTACTGGGAATTCGTCGAATATGTCATCGAACTGCATCAAACTGCAGGTCGAAGCCCTTGGGGGGATTATTGTATATATTCTTTGAAATCGCACACACACACAAGTACACTGGCGGAGGACGAGGAAGTGAAGTGAGGAGGAACGGCCGCATCAGCAGCGGAGGCAGCGGCTGCGGCGGCAATGCCAGTGGCAACAACAACAACAACAACAACAACAACAACAACAACAACAACAATGCCAGACGCAATGGCACGATACGTTTTCACGGCCGGATGCACCGCGCGTCAAACTCTCCGCCGCGGAGGGCCTTGCCGAGCTGCCCGCGCTGGATCTTGCCGCTGGTGGTCTTGGGAAACTCCCCCCTGTCGAGGGGCACCACGTGGCTCGGCCGGAGCCCCATGTTCTTCACCACGGCCAGGTGCACGGATCGGGCCGCCTCTTCGACGGACTCCGCGTGCCATGAGCTGCGCACCACGAAGAAGATGGCTATGCCCTCCGTGCCGGTGGAAGGGTCGATCGAGGCCACGGCTGCTGCGAAGGTGGGCTCCACGGCCTCGACCTGGTTGACCACGTCTTCGATCTCGTAGCAGTAGAAGTTCGCTCCACGAACGATGATCATTTCTTTCTCCCTGCCAGTGAGGTAGAGGCATCCCTCCTTGATGAAACCTACGTCCCCAGTGTTGAACCAACCGTCAGCGACAAACGCCTCCCTGTTTGCCTCTTCGTTGTGCAGATACCCTGGCGTGATCACGTCGCCTCGTATCTGGAAGCGCCCGACCACCTCCTCGAAAACAGTCTCGTCCGCCTCATCCGCGATGCGAATCTCCACGCCGGGCACCGGCGGCCCCAGGTTCACGAAGACCGTGCGGCCGACGCGCGTGGCCGCATGGGTCGCGAACCGGTTGTTGTAGGTCATGCAGGTGCAGGCCTCCGCCATCCCAAAAGCCGGCTGCATGGCCCCGCGCGACACGCCGAAGCGCCCCACCTGCTCCAGGAAGTCGTCGCACACTGGCATCGTGACCTCTGGCACGAAGCGAGCGGGACCCGAGGGAAACGGGCCCTGAACCCCAGGGCCCTCCCCCGAGACCCACCGCTCCAACCCTAGGAAGCCCCGGGGAGGGGGGGGGGGGCGAGAGCTTCCCATGCGACGTTCTGATTTTTTTAAGACGGCGTCCCTGGAAATCCCGAACCTTTCCCCGGGACCGGTTTTTCATCCTGAGTCGTTTGTTGACGGCCCCGAGGGCCGGTAAGGGCCCCGAGAGGCCGAAAACAGCCCAACCCCCCCCGCCCTGATTTTTGCACGAAGCGATCATGTCTGGGTCGACAACGGCCAGGACCTCAAGGCCCGCCTCTCGCCGCACCCCTGCCCAGACATCCGGCGTGGTCTCTCGGGCTTTGTATCGGGCTCCCATCCTGCACTAGTTTTTTTCCGACGGCGCCCTGGCTTTATGTTGCTCCCATCGCACTTAAGGACCACATCCCAGAAACAATTTCGACCACCCGGAAAAGTATCGAAAGAGTGTCGAAAGAGTGTCGAAGCAGTGTCGGACGAATGTCTCCCAGGGCCCGACACGTGAAAACCCTCCACTGTTGGGATACCTTTTTGGTGCTCGAAATTCTTTCTGGTGCTTCAGGCTAAAGCAGGTTGGAACATCATAACCCTGGCTGAGGGCCTCCGCGGCCCGAGCATCTCGTCAGAGGCCCCCCGCCGCGGTGCCCTCTGCTTCACGACGCGAGCACGTCAGTGTGCCCTGCACCGCGAGACCCAGACCCCCGACGTCATGGTTCTTTCCTTACGTCGACCCCTGGAGGTCTCGACCCACTCCCCGGGGCCGGCTTTTCGTCCCGAGTCGTTTTTGGACGGCCCCGAGGGCCGGCAAGGGCCCCCAGAGGCCGAACACAGCCAAAAACATCCCGCCCGAGGGGGTCTGGGCTCGGCGCCATCGATTGTGCAAGGGGAGGAAGAAGAGGAGCGGGAGGACCGAGGGGGAGGGAGAGGGAGGAGGACGAGGACGAGGAGGACGAGGAGGAGGAGGAGGAGGAGGAGGAGGAGGAGGAGGAGGAGGAGGAGGAGGAGAGGAGGGAGGAGGAGGAGGAGGAGAGGGAGGAGGAGGACGAGAAGGAGGAGGAGGAGGGGAAGGAGGAGGAAGAGGAGGAGAGGAGGAGGAGGAAGAGGAGGACGAGGAGAGGAACGAGGAGGAGGATGAGGAGGAGGAGGAGGAGGGCGAGAGGAGGGCGGAGGAGGAGGAGGACGAGGAGGAGGGTCCCGTGGTTGGCAGGGCGGGCTGAGGGGGTCTGGAAACCTGCTCCCCCGCGTTCATCCAGAGGCGGCATCGGGACAGGTCCAGGCCCTCCACGGGTGCCGCCGCGCCCCTCGGGAGGGGCCTGCTGCCTACCCCCACCACCACAAGGTGGAGGACGAGGAGGAGGAAGACGAGGAGGAGGAGGAGGAGGAGGAGGACGACGACGAAGAGGAGGAGGAGAAGGACGAGGAGGAGGAGGAGGAGGACGAAGAGGAGGAGGAGGAGGACGAAGAGGAGGAGGAGGAGGAGGAGGAGGAGGACGAAGAGGAGGAGGACGAAGAGAAGGAGGAGGACGAAGAGGAGGAGGAGGAGGACCCCCTCCCCCTCCAATTCATGGTGGTGGTGGTGGTGGAAAACAAGCCCATCACCTCAGCGCGTCCGCTACCAGCTTGAAGGCGAAATTCGGCGCCCACGTCCGCGTCACCGCGTGCTCGGCCAGGAGCCGGAGCCATCGGAGGGGCTCGGACACCACCCACGGGGTGTCGGCCTGGAGGCCATTGCTCTTTGGACTGCGGCAAGTTTGCTTTGAAGGGGCCCAGGGACACACAATTAAATACACACAAATCCCAGATCCCCCATCTTTTTATATATGTTGTTTGATTATGTCTTCCCCCCCCACTTCCCATATTTTCCCGGGGATTGACGCTGAATTGTGTCTGTGTGCATGTGTGTTTTTCCCCTCCTGCTATTCTTCAGACTGCGGCATGTTTGCCTGCATGGAGGGGGGGGGATGCGGGGGGGGAAGGGGGCATGGCGAGGCCCGGGAGGAGACCTGGGATTCAAGCACAAGCCGAGAATCGCTCGGAGAAGCGGCAGGGGGGTGGTCCTTACAGTGGAGACCCATGTCCAGGGTGCCCCAGGTTGGGTGGTTTCGATGGTTTTGCCATGGAAGGCGTGGCGTTAACGCACCAGAAATCCACGGGCGTCCTGGTGTCTCAGGGTTTGGCCTCTCGTGGAAGGCTCAGTGGATTGGCCTCCACTGTGCCGGGGGTGAATTGAAAGCAAACTTGTCAGATTTTGAGCAAAGATAGGGGACCACATGCGAACCCTACCCCTGCCCCCCCCACGATTTCTGAGGGGGAGGGTGGGGTTCACGTCGTTCGGGAGCTCCCAAGCGAAGTGAACCCCAACCTCCCCCTCAGAAATCGTGGGGGGTAGGGGTAGGGTTCGCATGTGGTCCCCTAGAAGAGGTTAGAGGCCTCATAGATGTGGTCCGCGTGGATGGGGTTGGAGGATCGCGCCGCATTGGCGATACATCGGCGATACATCGGCGATGCATCGGCGATGCATCGGAGATGCATCGGCGACGCGTCGGCGACGTCGGCGTGGAGGATATCGGGCTCCACATCGGGTCGTATGTCCGATGCATCGACGATGCGGCGCCATCCTCCGACCCCATCTACTCCAGTCCCATCTGAGAGGCCTAGAGCGGTGCTCCTGGATTTCCTCGCAGCCGTGGTACACGTCGCAGCAGTGCACCGTGAGGATGGTCGGGGGAGGGCCCATCGAGACCGCGGCGGGTCTCCCCGGCGCTCTCCGTCCCTGCTGGGCCTCCTGGAGGCTCATCGTCACCAGAGCCGAACTCGCCTCGAAAAAACGGGCCAGGGTGACTTCCCGAGGGGTCCGGGGGGCAGATTTTGAGTGGACTGGGCTCAGGACAGCTGCCGTTGTCTCAACTGGCCCTCCTCCGAGATAGGCACCACGTGGTCCAGCGGCAGGAAGTTGAGCTGCACGTCCTCGGGCGTGACGCCGCAGCACCTGGCCTCGCCGCGCACGTGGGCCACCACGCCGCGGTGCGCGACCTGGATGCACTTCGGCACCCCGGTGGACCCGCTGCTCAGCTGGCCCGGCGGTGCAGAGATGGGGCCCTGAGGGACGGAGCCCTGCTGACAGGCAAGGACCTCCTTTTGAGTTTACCTTCTTTGAGGCCCCTCCTCCCCAGGGCCCTATGTCTTTGCACCGCCGGCTGGTAGAACGCGACGTCAGACGGCAGCACCGCCGCGGGCGCGGGACGCGCGGCATCGCCAGGCTCGACCAGCTGCTCCTGGGGAAACCCAAAAAAGGTACCGCTACCGCTACCCCCCGGGACCACTCCTGGGGTGCGTCCTGAACATGATCTCGAGGCGAATCCAGCGGTGGCGACGAGGGCCTCCAAGGAGGCCGGAAAAGTGGAAAACGGGCGAGGGGGTAGAGGCATCGGTATGGGTACCTGTTCCCTCTCTGAGCTCCACGGCCACCACCTCCATCGGCGACATCCCCTCCGCGGCCCGCAGCTGCTCGACCTTCGCCGCGTGCGCGGCGGACGTGAGGACCGGCGGGCCCCCCAGCAGCCGCCACACGTTGCGAATCTTGCCGCAGACTGCGTGCGCGGTGTCGCTGTAGCTCGGCGGGATGGCGACCGCCACGGGCACCGTGCCATGGGCTGGCGGCGCGCCCAGGGGGGAAATCAGCGGGGAAGGGGCCTTCTCGGGACGCCCAGCTGGCCTCCGACCTTCCGGGGGAGCCTTCCTGCGCGTGCCCCGAAGCAGCTCCAGGGGCCTCCTCCGCCGCCGCCTCCGCCTCCTCCTCCTCCTCCTCCTCCTCACGCCCCCCGCGCTTGCTTTCTGAGAAGGCCTGCTCCCCCCTCGGCGCGCCGCCGAATGGAGCAGGCAGCCCCAGAAGGCCGCAAAGTGGGCGGCGAGCCCAGGCAGCTGCAGCAGCGCCGAGGGCTCCCGGCCCACCGCCCGGCGCGACAGCCCGGCAGCGAGGCGCTCCGCCTGCTCCAGCAGCTCGCTGTAGCAGAGCCGCGATGGCCTCTGCCAGGAATTCTGTTGCCCACATCGTACCCTTCAAGGAAATGCATTTCTCAAGGACCACACCCCATCGTACGTTTTACTTTTTAAAGACTCCCCATAAGGCATCGTTGCTCCCACTTTATGGCCTCGTTGCTCCCATCGTACTTTTTAAAGACCACGCCCCAGAAGAAATGTCGAGCGCCCGGAAGAGTGTCGAAAGAGAGCCGACGCAGTGCCGGGCGAGGGCCTCCCGGGGCCGCCCGACGCGTGAAAGCCCTCGAGTTCTGGTACTTGAGTTCTGGTACTCGTGTTTTTCCCAACCATCCTGTGGTGTTGGGTCCTCGTTTTGAAGAAACGGTCCCCGCGTTCTCCTCCTCTTCTCCTCCTGCCCCTCCTTCCTACCGTCTGCATGCGTCCCGCACACCCAGTACAACCTTTCGTGGCCTTCCTCCCCCTCCTCCCTGCGTTTCACCCACCCAGTACAGCGCTTCGTGGCCCCATAGGGAACCCCACCGAAGGTCCCATGGCTACCGTCCGCATGCGTCCACCCAGTACCCAGTGCTACCGTCCACATGCGTCCCGCACACCCAGTATCCCGCACACCCAGTACAACGTTTCGTGGCCCCATAAGGAGCTCCAACGAAGGTCCCAGTGCTACCGTCCGCATGCGTCCCGCACACCCAGTACAACCTTTCGTGGCCCTCCTCCCCCTCCTCCCTGCGTTTCACCCACCCAGTACAGCGTTTCGTGGCCCCATAGGGAGCCCCACCGAAAGTCCCAGTGCTACCGTCCGCATGCGTCCCGCACACCCAGTACAGCGTTTCGTGGCCCCATAGGGAGCCCCACCGAAGGTCCCAGTGCTACCGTCCGCATGCGTCCCGCACACCCAGTACAGCGTTTCGTGGCCCTCCTCCCCCTCCTCCCTGCGTTTCACCCACCCAGTACAGCGTTTCGTGGCCCATGGGAGCCCACCGAAGGTCCCAGTGCTACCGTCCGCATGCGTCCCGCACACCCAGTACTTCGCTTCGTGGCCCCATAGGGAGCCCCACCGAAGGTCCCAGTGCTACCGTCCGCATGCGTCCCGCACACCCAGTGCAGCGTTAAGTGGCCCCATGGGAGCTCCACCGAAAGTCCCAGTGCTACCGTCCGCATGCGTCCCGCACACCCGGTACAGCGTTTCGTGGCCCTCCTCCCCCTCCTCCCTGCGTTTCACCCACCCAGTACAGCGCTTCGTGGCCCCATAGGGAGCCCCACCGAAGGTCCCAGTGCTACCGTCCGCATGCGTCCACCCAGTACCCAGTGCTACCGTCCACATGCGTCCCGCACACCCAGTATCCCGCACACCCAGTACAACGTTTCGTGGCCCCATAAGGAGCTCCACTGAAGGTCCCAGTGCTACCGTCCGCATGCGTCCCGCACACCCAGTACAACCTTCCGTGGCCCTCCTCCCCCTCCTCCCTGCGTTTCACCCACCCAGTACAGCGCTTCGTGGCCCCATAGGGAGCCCCACCGAAGGTCCCAGTGCTACCGTCCGCATGCGTCCCGCACACCCAGTACAGCGTTTCGTGGCCCCATAGGGAGCCCCACCGAAGGCCCCAAAGCTACCGTCCGCATGCGTCCCGCACACCCAGTACAGCGTTTCGTGGCCCTCCTCCCCCTCCTCCCTGCGTTTCACTCACCCAGTACAGCGCTTCGTGGCCCCATAGGGAGCCCCACCGAAGGTCCCAGTGCTACCGTCCGCATGCGTCCCGCACACCCAGTACTTCGCTTCGTGGCCCCACAGGGAGCCCCACCGAAGGTCCCAGTGCTACCGTCCGCATGCGTCCCGCACACCCAGTACAGCGTTAAGTGGCCCCATTGGGAGCTCCACCGAAAGTCCCAGTGCTACCGTCCGCATGCGTCTCGCACACCCGGTACAGCGTTTCACGACCCCATGGGGAGCCCCACCGAAGGCCCCAGTGCCCCCGTCCGCATGCGTCCCGGAAACCCAATTAGGCATTTTCACGCACCCAGTGCAGCGTTTCGTGGCCCCCATAGGGGGCTCCACCGAAGCCCCGAGTGGGACCGTCCGCATGCGTCTCGGAAACCCAATTTGGCATTTTCACTCACTCAATAGAGCGCTTCGTGGCCCCATAGGGAGCTCCACTGAAGCCCTCAGTGGGACCGTCCGCATTCGACACACCACCCACACGGTACAGCTTTCCCCCCCGCCCAGTGCAGCGCTTCGTGGCCCCATAGGGAGCTTCACCGAAGCAGATATTCACAACTACGGTACTGCAGATGGTTGGACGTTCGCCAAGATAATTTCTGGTGCTCGAAATTATCCCTGGTGGTCAAGGCTAACGTAGGTTGAAACATCGTAAGCCATGAAAATCGCGAGCGACAAAAAGGTCCAAATCTTACGCGAGATGGCGTGGCGACATGACGCGGTGGCTTACGCGGGCCGCCAGCGTGGCACGCCACATTGGAACCACGCTGTAGCAAAGCCGCGATGGCCGCCAGCGTGGCACGCCACATGGGAACCTCGCTGTAGCAAAGCCGCGATGGCCTCTGCCATACAAAAAAGTGAGCGACGAAAAGGCCCGGGTCTTGCGCGAGATGGCATGGCGACATGCCGCGGTGGCTTAAGCGGGCCGCCAGCGTGGCACGCCACTTTGGAAACTCGCTGCAACAGATCCGCGAAGGCCTCTGCCAAAAAAGTGTTCGGCGAAACGATCCGTGTCTTACGCGAGATGGCATGGCGACCTTACACGGTGGTTTCGCGGGCCGCAAGCGTGGCACGCCACCTTGCCCGCACAATCGACTCCGTTTTTCTGCGTCGCTCACTTCCTAATCCTGAATCGTCTTGCACCAATCCCTCAGCGGGGGCCCGGGGAGGGCCACGGGAGCCCGAAAACGGCCGGCGGAAAGCCCTGAGATCTGGCGCTGCTGGAAAATGGCAGCGGCGCGAGCAATCACGACTGGAGTCCCAGTCCCAGACCCAATCTTTCCGAAACGTTCTTTCGAGCTGGATCGATCTGTTGATAAATGGCAGCGGCGCGAGCAATCACGATTGGAGACCCACTCCCAGACCCAATCTGTCCAAAACACGTTTTCCCAACCGTCCTGTGGTGTTGGGTCCTCGTTTTGAAGAGACAGCGCCCCGCGTCATTCCTCCTTTTCCTCCTCCTTCCCCTCCATCTTCCTCTCAACCGTCATCATCACCAGCATCGTTATCATCATCGCCGTCACCATCACCCCTCACACGCTGCGTGGCCCCATAGGGAGCTCCACGGAAGGCCCCAATGCTGCCGGCCGCATGCGTCCCGCACACCCAAGTCGTCACACCCCTCACATGTTTCGTCGCCCCAGAGGGAGCTCCACCGAAGGCCCCAGTGGCGCCGCCCGCATGCGTCCCGCACACCGAATTCGGCACACCCCTCACACGTTTCGTTGCCCCAAGGGGAGCCCCACCGACGGCCCCAATGCCGCCGCCCGCGTGCGTCCCGCACGCCCATCCTGGCACACCCCTTACACGCTTCGTGGCCCCAATAGGGAGCTCCACAGAAGGCCCCGATGCTGCCGGCCGCATGCGTCCCGCACGCCCAATTCGGCACACCACTCACACGTTTCGTGGCCCCATAGGGAGGTCCACCGAAGGCTCCAGTGCCGCCGCCGGCATGCGTCCCGCCCACCCCGGCACACTCCTCGCACGTTTCGTGGCCCCATAAGGAGCTCCACCGAAGGCCCCAATACTGCCGTCCGCATGCGTCCCGCACACCCAATTCGGCACACCCCTCACACGTTGCGTGGCCCCATAGGGAGCTCCACCGAAGGCCTCAATGCTGCTGGCCGCATGCGCCCCGCACACAAAATTTGGCACACCCCTCACACGTTTCGTGGCCCCATAGGGAGCTCCACCGAAGGCCCCAGTGCCGCCGCCCGCATGCGTCCCGCACGCCCAATTCGGCACACCCCTCACACGCTTCGTGGCCCCATAAGGAGCCGGTGGTCCCGACAGCTTCCCTAGGGCCGATTTTTTTGTCGTCGTCGTCCGTCGTCGACGTCCGACCTGCGCGCGTCGGGGGGGCTCCGCGTAGCGCGGCGCCCGCAGCCTTGAACCCTGGAGTGCGCGGGCAAAGGGGAAGGAAAAAAAGGGGAGGAAACGGGCGCGATCCTCGTGTGGGGCATGCCGACATGGGCGTCGCGGCGCGCGGGCGCTGCCGTCGGGGTTCCCAGGAAAACTCCCTACGGAGGCTACGCTCAGTGTCACGAGTTCTCAGAGTCAGGCAGACCCACACCATTCACAGTGTTATGCATTTGCATTCGGCGACTCCATGCTCGCAGTCATGCAAAGAGAATCCATTAAACGCATGTTCATTCAGAATCAGACTCACTCGCGCTTAGACTCGCCCGCGCTCAAGCTTTCATACTCAGACCTATCGTTTTCGATCGTGTTGTGTACCCTATCATACAATTCGGCACACCCCTCATACGGTTCGTGGCCCAATAGGGAGTGCCACCGAAGAATAGATTCACATGTGCGGTATTCACAACTGCGTCTGGTGGGTCCTTCGCCAGGCTAATTCGAGCTGGATCGATCTGTTGAAAAGTGGTAGCGGCGCGAGCAATCACGACTGGAGTCCTAGTCCCAGACCCAATATGTCCGAAACATTTCTTCGAGCTGGACCGATCTGTTGAACACTGGCAGCATCGCAAACAATCACGACTGAAGTCCCAGTCCCAGACCCAATCTCTCCGAAACACCCTTTTCGAGCTGGATCGATCATCTGTGATGTCCCTGGGGCCCGAGATACCGGGCGAGACCGCCCGGCGTGGACAATCAAACCAACGCCCGGATCGCAGGGAATCCCAAGCGGGACGAAGCCAGAACGGAGATCAAACATCGGGCGAGGATACATCGAGAATCTCTGAGATCCGACGGCTCTGGAAACTGTCTTGGGCGCCGCGGCCTCCTCAGAGCGTTCTGAGCGCGTCCCGGCACGCTGCGGAACGCACTTTTCCTCGCTCTATAGCCCCGTCCGATCAGGACCCGTGTGTCCCTCCGGACCCGCTCGCTTCCCAGACATATGACGTCCTGCTTTTTCAGGACGGCGTCCCTGGAAGTCCCGACCCTTTCCCAAGGGCTGGCTTTTCGTCCTGAGTCGTTGCTTGCAGGTCCCGAGGCCTGGCGAGGGCCCTCCGGGGCCGAAGATGGCCAAGAACCTCCCGCCCTGATTGTTTTTTTTGTTCAACGACGCGCGCGCATGTCTGGCTTCCTGGCGGGGCCTCCCCGACGAGTCGTAGATCGTGAGCCCCCGGTCCGGGAGCGCGCCGGCGGTGCGGCGCAGCGCGGCGGTCAGCGTCGCAGGCCCCGAGGGGTCGGCCTCCAGCGGCGCGCCCCGGCTGTGCGCCAGGGGCCTCCGGGGCCCCTCCTCGGCGAGGCCGCGCGGGCCCCCGCCGCAGACGGCGAGCGCCTCCGCGGCGAGGAGGCCGCCGACGCCCTCGCGGCCCGCGAAGTCGGCCACGCGGAAGGGCTCCCGCGGGGCGCCCGCCCGCGGCAGGCCGGGCGGCGCCGCGGCCTCCGGGGCGCCGCGCTGCGCGAAGAGCAGCAGCAGCAGCGCCTCGCCCGCGGCCGCGGCCTCGTAGGGCACCGCGGCCTCGCCGCGCCCCACGGCGGCCCAGTTCCCCGCGAGGCCGTAGCAGCACGGCTCGCAGGCGGGCTCGTCGCCGTCCTGCAGGCCTGGGATGTCTCGGGCCGGGCGGAAGGGGGGGATGGCAAAGGGGGGGGGGTTCAGAGTCAGCCTCAGCTCACGTAGTTGAGAATCAGCTCACGTAGCTGAGGCGGCCATGTATCGAGGAATGGGCCCCTCGGTGGGGCTGAAACCAGCCGCACGCAGCAGATCTCGTACCCCCGCTTCCCCAATCCCCCCCTTCGTCCGGCCCGAATGTCGGAGACCAGCCACTTGAGGCGCGGGGCCGCCGAGCCGCGCTGGCCCACGAGCAGGAGGCAGAAGCGGTCCTCGGGGCCCCCGGCGGGATGCCAGGTCACCACGGGCCGGCGGCGGGCACGAGCGGGCGTGAAGGCCCCGCGGCCTTCCAAAGAGGGAGCCGGGCCTTCCGAGGAAAGCCCTCCCGCCCGCGTGCCATATCAGGAGCCTTCTCGGAGGCCCCACCCGCGGCAGGCCTTCTCGGGGCTCTTCTCGGAGGCCTCCGATCCTGCGTGAGAAGCCCACGCGAGCCCTCTCTCGGCGGTGGACAAACACCTCCCTTTGGTAATAAAAACACCCTTTAGTGAACCCGGCCTAGGGCCGATACCCCCGGACCTGGACCCACAAAGAATGACGGCCGCGACGCCCTCTCGCGAACTCGAAAACGGCCAATTCGCCAATCGACGTGTCAGGGTGGGA